TAGGATGAAAATTTCAACCCCAGTTAGTCCTCTGAATTCAAATTCAAGAAGCCTGTACAAATACTAGTGATGAGCAACTCATCCCATCATAGAAACAGAGTATAAAACAAAATATTTTTCTGCTTCTGTATAACAGTTTACCTTTACCCTTCAGGTCACTAACTTAGAGGGTAACATGAAGGGAAGGGTAAAACAAACAGAAACTCAAACTCAGTATATCCTTTCCCTTTGTCTCTCACAAGACAAAGCTTTTCCCATACAATCATAAACTCTAATACAAAATTAATTGTTATTCAGTGACCTAAGAAAGTTCAAAGCTACTAAAGCTGCAAATCAGAAATGAGCCAGAGTCAGTGCTAACAAAGAACACATGCTACCACTTACACACTTGGAGACTCATTTTGAGTTGTGCTGAGTACTCACAATGCCAACTGAAGCCAGGTGGAATGGTAGGAGATCAGCACATCAGAAGATTGAGTTCTTTGATTTAAAGACTATCCTGAGGCACAGAAAGCATGACAGTGGGATGAAAGAAGGGAAGACACTGATTGTCAGTAAGAGTCAAGCATTCTGGAAAAACAAGTTGAAGCCAACAAAATAATCTTCTCCATGTCCCACTGCTCAGAAGGACATAAAACTAAGCACTCTAAGAATCCAGGGGTGAGAAATATTTGTGGAGAGGGAAAAAGTGATAAGTGGTGCAGTAGCATTTCAGAGCTGGGTTTTTAGGGTGACTGCTGAACAGATGCTTGATGGGAATACCTAAGGGAAGGCTATTATGTTCTCCAACTAGTAGAACCCACCTCTACAAACAAACGGTGTAGGAATTCTTCCACTCCTGCAGAAGGTAAAGCATGAGTAGATACCCACATATACAACCCTGTAACTTGACTGCCCAGCTGTTCAGCAATTTCTAAATCTGCATAAATATAATAAATTATATTTCACTATGAAATATATTCTCTCTAGTACCTATAAATATGACAGCTTATTGCAGAGTCTTGATTCAAGAATGTTTCTATGCCCTTGCATAGTAATTGCCTTACCCACTGACAGCTACAGCTCTATCAAGGTGCTTCATTATGCAGCGTATACAGTATTAAAACACTAAATGCTTACTAAATACTAAAACCATGTCACCCTTTCTTTCCCCTTACCAACCATAAAGGAAATGTGAATAAAGCTTGGTATTTTTGGTAACCACGAAGGAGGAACTGAATACATGTATATTAAACACCAGCAAAAAATTACAAGCTCTTTCAGTTTGTAAATTAGCATCTTCCCAGTTGTGTCAAACTGCAGGCTCAGGACTTGATCAACAATCACCACAAACGTGAAAATGAAGCAGTGTATTTCAGACTATTTTGACAGACTGGAGAGATTCAATGCTTAGCCTCTTTTTTAACTTTTCCTTTACCCTTCCTCATCCTCAAGACCATATAACAGCAGGCATTGCCCTCAGCTGTATCCTGCTGCTCTTTCTCTATTGTGAAAATTTTTTTCTGCTTCTAGAAATACAGAGAGTCTGAGTGAACTGAACCATAACCGGTATGCAGCAGCAACAAAGTGTCCCATTCTATTGGATGCAGAGCATAAAATTGGGAGAAAGAACTAGTTTCTAGCTCTTCCAATTTTTTTAAGATAAGGGTGTCTCCACCTTTCCTATCACTTAATAAGAAAATTTGGAATGTACACATCTGGAAAGTGGGATGCTCCCAGAACCTGTGAGAATCACTGGACATCCACGTGAAACACTACTTTTTTTTTTTTGCAGCATGACCCACACTGTAGACCTTTCAAGCAGTAAACTCTCAACACCTCCCTGATTGCAGTTGCCTTCTGAATGCAGGCAGTCTATTGTAGAGGGAGAAAAAGCACAAGTTAATACAGCCTGAAACCCCTTTAGATAAGTAGAGGCTTTCATCTGGCTAGAGAAATTGATGGAGGCAATGTACTTAACCTGGGAGAATGACTCCAAGATAAGCTTCCCCTCGGAGACCAGATACAGAGGAAAACAAGGAGATTCCAAAAGGTAAATAGGATACTCAGAAGAAAAGGCTTAGGGGAAAGCAAGTGGAAAGGACATGCCATTTTCAAGTTCTTCAGGAAAGATAATCTTTAATGGCTCCCTAGTCACCAAGTCCCAAATACTGCAATAAGTAAGTTGCTAGTGTGCTAAAGCCCCAATTAAATAGTTGACATCATCACGCCAATGTCTAGTCGAGTCTCATACACTGCAGTCAAACATTCTGAAAGAACAACATTTTTGGTTCCTTGTGGAGAGGGGATGGATATAAATGTATATAATTGCTTTGCTGTATTATGCATTAATGCTAGTTATCAGCTGTTACCAGAACTGAGCAGTTTGTGAATATGTTATTTTAAGCTCTCCCTGCTGCAATATGTAGATGCCTTGAGTTTTGCCTATATTTATGCAATTAAGCTGCATTTAAGTTTCCACTGCCAGAGGTGATTTCTGTGGTAATGTGTTGTGAGCTTCTCTCCAGAACAGGCTTTCAATAATACAGATCCCAATAAAGCTTTAGTGTAAACACACTGCTGAACCTTGAGGATGAAATACACAAGATTCGAGTACTGAAAATAAAGCCAGGGTACATATCTATGTCTTTTCCTCTTTTCTGTGGCTGGCTGAGCAAGCTTTCCTGAACAGGAGGTGATCTTGTTATGAATTTAATCAACGTTGTGTTTAGTGGTCCCTAAGTTCCACGTGTCTTTCCATACCTTCACTGGCTATTACTGTTTTTAAACAGCTGTTACTGAAAACTGCAAGAGAAAACTATACTCTGATAGTCTAATTCTTATATATATAGCTTCTCACATGATTCGACATCAATTTGGATGAAATGAACTATAGATCCTACATGTCCTGAATGTTCCTTGTAAAAAATTGAAGGAAAAGGAATAATTAGAAAATGTCTAAACACTGGTTATGTCTGACCAGACTGAAAACAGCACAGCTTACTCTGTGCGTGCAGGCTCCCAGCTACAGTCTGTACAAGTCTGATGCACCTTGCTCAGTAGCTAGGGCCCCAACTGAAACTCAGGAGAAGGCCAGCCAGACTCAAAAGAATGCATATGTCTTTCTAAACACTAGCCACATTAAACAACTTAAAGAAAGGGTTTTAACTGGTGCATTTGAAAATGAAATGTGCTAAGAAATTTATGCTTCCCTTCTGCTGGTGTACAGGGAAAATATCTGATAAACTAAAGATGAGTAAACATGGATCAGGTGAAAAGTTCTTCCAGCCATAGTTAAAGAAATGGACACAAAATATTTGGAGAGCTTGTTTTTTGTTTTTTTGTTTTTTGTTTTTTGGGTTTTTTTTAAGTGCAGTAATTAGACCTGTTGTATCTGTGTTGATGTGTGTGTTTCCAGGATACTGTAATCTCATCTTTCAGGGAAGGGGGTTACGGCTTGCAAAAAAAATCAAGGAGCCTACCCCTCTTCCCTGAACAAGTATCCCTTCTCTCTGAGTGACTTAGATGGGCATATTCATAGAAGGGTAGTCCTTCATTCTCTGAATAAGCAGATTATCAAACAGCAGGCATTGCTAAGGGCACAAAATCAAACTTGATGATCTGATGCAATATGGCAATTCCTACAGCACTACCAGTGGTTCATTTCCATACAAAGTCCTTCAAATAGCTAGATAAGAATTCCACACTCCCTTGGATATCTCTGTCAACACAATTTGCATTGCATGTAATATTTATTACATCCTTCAGGCATTGCACGTGACTTGTCTCACACTGACATCTCTACAGGTCCAGGTGCATGTCATATTCCCTGAGAGGTTATGAAGGAACTCCTTGGCAAAGGAACTCCAAGAGGCAGTCAAGGGCCTAAGAACCAAAATGATTAGTTGGGATTGCACTGAGACTGTGAGACATTATGAGCCAGCTCTATGAAAATACCTGTTCAAAGCAAAAACTAAGACACAGCAAACATTCCATATTAAGGAACAGTCTGGCACACTGGTAGCTAATTGATTGTTAATGTTTAGAATATTTGTCAAATGGCGCATAAGGAGACAATTAAGCCTCCATAGTGCTTATAAGCTGTAGAACTGATTTTTGCAAGTCTTATTTGATAGAAAATAACAGCAGGTTCCACCCTGCTAACAAAGTTTATGCAGCTAAAGTAGGCAACGCAGTTTTCATCTGACAGTGTGTCACTTACATAGCATTTAAGGTCAAAATGTGGACTCTCCACCTGCTTATATCATCAATTATCTTCTCTTTAATGAAACTGCATGTTTTAGAGACAGAAATCAATCCTACACTTTTAAAAAAGCAACTGTTTACTTTTGAGTGTTCAATAATCAGATCAACTTCTCTTCTTTCCTAAAGAAGAGCAGGTTTTTAAAGACCTTTCCCTGAGCAGCATTTTCTATCAAAATACTTGTTAGGTAGTGTTTTTTCCCCTCAGTTGTTGGAAAAAATGCAAAACAAATATTGAAAAAATGTAGCTGGTTTTTCACTATAGAGAGTATACTGATTTGGGGTTTTAGCACAACAATATTCTCTTTGAAATATGGAGATGTCTCTGATTGGAATTCAAAATAAACAAGGAACTCCCAGCCAAACCTTAGAGAAAGGACAAAAAGCAGATATAAAGCAGTTATCTCCCCTGTCAGCATGCTAAGCAAAGAATTCACCCTTGATTTCTAGCAAATATTTTGGTGAGAGCAAGATGAGGTCTTTAGGAACTGAGAGGTAGAGACAAAATATGCTTCATTGACTGTGCTCTGGAAATAAAATGGAAGGGCTCCATACTTGTAAAAGTAAAATAGAACCTTTTGAAGAAAAGGGAGCATTGCAGAATCTAAACTCATTTCCTTTGCAATAACCTCTCCTCCATCTAGGTGCCATACTAATTGTTACCTCTTCCCTTTTGGTAAGTTTTATAAAGTTTTTTATGTCTTTTTCCAGTTGTTTGGGCTGAAATCTACTAATACGTAACCAGCCTGTGGACATACCGTCATCATATCATGTATTCTATATACCTACATGTAACACCTAGCTTTTGTCACCTCTTAAATATGCTGGAAACACCTTTCCACACCCCCCCGCCCCCCAAACAGTCCATTGTAGCAAAACATACTTCATGAGTGCCAAAAAAGATATACTGAAGCATGCTGTTAGGTTTTCTTCTGTTCTAAAAAGTTGTCTACACTGTAGTTCGGATAGTATATGCAATGCATCCACCCCTTGCCATGACTTTTTTGGGGAATATCTTATCATCACCTCATTGAACTGGTATGCATCTAACAAGGATTATAGTCATTTGGCTGCCTTCAGCACTAGCTTCACCATAATGCTTCCTAATGGCTTCTGAACAGACTGCACATCTATCTGGTGCCTCAAGGTGAATTGACAAACTCATTCTGCAGCACAGAACATGGCCAGCAGCTCCTTTTTAATTTGAGCTTATCTCCCTTCTATGGCCATCAAAGCACTGCAAGCTCTACTAACTGGCTCTACCTCAGTGCTGCTCCTAGCCCTCCTTCCTAGGCATCCTTACCTCTATTGTTATACTTCTAGCCACTCCACAGTAAGACTGAAAGTGCTAAAGGATGGTACTGGTCTTGCGACTTCCTCTGCTCTATCAGATACTTTTTGACCACATCAGCTTTAGCTATCCCAAAGGCCCATAGGTGTATCAAATCTGGAAACATACTTGGTAACTGTTCTAAAACTACTTGACCTGCATGCCTTGAGGTAGATGTATTCCTAATGCTTCAGTTTCTCTGGCTCTAGACACAGCTTTTCAGATGTCACATGCTCTCTTCACCTTCAGTTTTTGACACAGCTTTCGCCTTAGTTTGACATCCTGCTCCCAACACCTACTTGGAGTTGTTACAACTTGGTATAGTGCAGAATTCTTTCTGCATTGAGGCCTCCTTCTGCTGCAGGAAAAGCAATATGAAATAGGACAAGAGGAAATGGTCTCAAGTTGTGCCAGGGGAGGTTCAGGTTGGATATTGGGAAGAACTTCAAAATGTTCAAAAAACATTTATTTGTGGTGCTTCGAGACATGGTTCAGTGGGTTTAGCAGGCATGGTGGACCTGATGATCTTTGAGGTCTCTTCCAACCATAATGATTCTATGATTCCATGAAATGCGTTTTTTGTGCTTGAGGTTCCCTCTAGCCCTGGTTTCCATCGACAGTGAAATGCCTCAAGTCACACTGAAGGCCAGAAATGTTTTTGTTGTTTTTCCTTTCCCCTTCTTTTTCGTTTATGGTTTTAAGAAAAAAAATCTCCTGAAACCCATAGCAAAGGTTGTCAAGGAGCTGAGGGGCTGATACTTCTTTTTCATATTAGTGCCCTGATCTCAAAGCTTAGCACTGTAAGATGATCTATACCTTATGGAAGCATTGAATGAGCACTATACTTACGACTTTTTGCTTGATGTTTCCAATGTGTCATATTTTATGGAGGCCCTTGATGACACTGCCAGGACAAGTGTCAAAATCTGATTACCATTTCTTTTGACAATATTTCTATTGAAATAGATAGGTCATCAGAAACAATATTTTTGACCTTGTACTACTTTGAGATATGAGAGTGCACAAGACTACACAGCAATCTGTCAAAAGTAATATTCTATCTCTACATGAACTGAGATTGTTTGTACACTGACTAATTTTTATCCTTTATTTTTAAAACAAAAGGAAGATGTATAATATTTATCCAGAAGCTTAGCTGACAGCAATTATTATGGCTAACAAAGACAAAAGGACAACATTTTATGTCATTTTGACCTGACTGAATCATCTGATGTGTTCTATTTTCAGGGTGGATTTTATGTTAAAACAGCCATAGCTTGCTACTATCACAAGTAAAATGGTTAAGGAGGTTATTGTAAGGTCTCTTTCATCTGGAGAAAAGACATGTAAAACCCAAACTTACTTCAAAACTTCCTGAATTATTAAATTCATGCTGGTAACATCCCTCTACCTAATGCATTACGCATTGAAATTCTGGCAATTAAACACTAGCTCATTGCTCAAAATCTGTTTTAAAAATTTACTTCGTATTGCAAAGCATCAGTTGAAAGTACCTGATGCTATTATGGCAAAATATTTTATTACAAGGTGTCCTGCTAATCCAACACAAACATGAAAGTAGTTTACCTGGAATGTTTCCACAGAACAACTTAAACACTAAGATGATCATTAGGTACAACTTCCAAGATAAATTACAAATTTTAAAAGCCATTTTTTAAACAAAGTTATTCTTATATTAATCCATATGAGTGTTTTTCATATTTGATTTATTATATTCAATGAGTCTGTCCAGCCTTCAGCTGAAGATATTAAAATATGTGTTGCCTCATTTTTGTGAATTATTAGGTACTGGAATAATCTTAAGAAGCTTTACTTACATTTTCACTTTAATATCTAGCATCATCTGCAAAATATGTTATATCTTCTCTAAGCTGATATTTGATGATAGGGAATCACAGATCTTTCAACAAGCAAAGTAGGATCCAGAATCTTTGAAGACCTAGATTAACTCCCAACCCCCAACTGAAAGTCTGGGCAAATCCCCCTATAATTCTCAGGCTGTTAATAATAATTTGAAAAAAAATTAGTATTATGTACCTACAGAAAACTGATAGAGCCTAATGACTTGGGAAGAGTAGACAGAAGGTGTGATTCATATACATATTCACCTACCTGTTGATAAAAAACACATATTTTAAGAAATGATAAAACCCTCTAAAATGCCAAATTTCATATGATAAAAAATAATAAAAGCTTAATCAAATTTCTGTCAGAGGCATCTTTATCATACCTCTACTATCCTGCAAAAAGATTCTAATAAACAATGTAGTACAAATGTGTTATTGTTTAGAGCGATTGCCACCAACTCCAAGCTGTGTGGTGCGGTTGACATGCTGGAGGGAAGGTATACCACCCAGAGGGACCTTGACAGGCTGGAGGGGTGGGCCCGTGCGAACCTCATGAAGTTCAACAAGGCCAAGTGCAAGGTCCTGCACATGGGTTGGGGCATCCCAAGCACAAATACAGGCTGGGCAGAGAATGGATCAAGAGCAGCCCTGAGGAGGAAGACTTGGGAGTGTTGGTTGGCTGAAAGCTCAACGTGATCCAGCAATGTGCACTTGCAGCCCAGAAAGCCAACCGTATCCTGGGCTGCATCACAAGAAGCATGGCCAGCAGGCTGAGGGAGGGGACTCTCCCTCTCTGCTCCTTTCTGGTGAGACCCCCCTGCAGTACGGGACCCCAACACAAGAGAGACATGGACCTGTTGGAGCAAGTCCAGAGGAGACCACGAAGATGATCCGAGGGCTGGAGCACCTCTCCTATGAAGACAGGCTGAGAGAGTTGGGGTTGTTCAGCCTGGAGATAAGGCAGCTCCAGGGAGACCTTAGAGCAGCCTTCCAGTACCTAAAGAGGCTTACAAGAAAGCCAAGGAGGGACTTTTTACAAGGCTGCCTAGTGATAGAACAAGGGACAATGGCTTCAAACTGGAAGAGGGAATATTAGGAAAAAATTCCTCACTGTGGGAGAAAGCCAAGGAGGGACTTTTTACAAGGCTGCCTAGTGATAGAACAAGGGACAATGGCTTCAAACTGGAAGAGGGAATATTAGGAAAAAATTCCTCACTGTGGGGTTGGTGAGGCACTGGAACAGGCTGCCCAGAGAAGTTGTGGATGCCCCATCCCTGGAGGTGTTCAAGGCCAGGCTGGATGCAGCTTTCAGCAACCTGGTCTGGTGGAAGGTGTCCCCGCCCATGGCAGGGGGGTTGGAACTAGGTGAGCTTTAAGTTCCCTTCCAACAAGCCATTCTGTGATTACAGGCTTAATTCTGTTGCCCACACATAGGCACATGGTACCATTTAAGATGCTCTCTTGGTGCCTACCTAGCCTCCAGCTGCAGTTCCAGAAGGCCTCTCACAGGTTCTGTGTCACATCTGATAGCCCCCTGTATCAACACTATAACAGATTTAAAAAAAAAAAAATCAGATAGTACAGTATTCAATAATAAGTGAAGAAGTTTACTCTTAGACTTGTTTTCAACTTACTTTGCTTGTATAACCAGATTTCATAGATTATATACTAGCCAATGGCTTAGCTAAAAAATTCCATCCAACATACTTATAATCAGTAATAGAAACAAGCGTAAAATAATCACACAGGAAATAGCGAGAGAGAGATTTTACACATCTAAATGCAACCTCTGGTAATTCAGGTCTTTTCTTATGCCAATAATAGAACTGCTTAGGATTTAGCAGCAGAAGACAATTGCATGTCATGGAGTGGCATAATACAAAATGAGAAATTTTTAAAATCTGTGAGAAAAATTACATTATTAGCATTCATAGCGCAGCCTATAATGTACCTTATTTCCGTTACTTAAAAGTAGCATTTGTTTGATCTATTCAGAGCAATTTTGGATCAGAAGATTTAATTCATGGACACAATCTTGTTACAGTATCTGAGACCAACAGGACTATTGCTGCCTTTCCTGCACACCACAGGACTTCTGTGTACAGACTGTAAGGATATATTCATGTTTAATTATTACGAAAATGTCACGTAAAGAATGAGAAGGGAGTTAAATCACTGCACAAAGATTTAAACTGGAAGCTGGTAAAGTTTTAATAACACTCTGCATGTGAATTATGCTTCCAATAACACATAAATGTATTATGAAGCTTTAGCTGATACAAAGCAGTTTCTTACAGCTTAATGTATTTGAAAAGAAAATGGCTGTACTTTGTGGTAACAGAAATACCAATTATGAATCAAACTTGTAGTTTAATTCACTTAATTATAGCTGCAGTTAAGTTAAGGCAAAAGCCATGTTTAAATACTTTTTCTTCAGTTCGTGAAAGTGGGGAGACAATATTCATTTCCTCATATTTATTGGAGTACAGTAATGAAACCCCAGCCATTCGCTGCACTGCCATGCACTCTTGGCACGCTTCTCATTTTAGCTGGACTCCAGCCATACCACAGGCCACCTCCTGCCATCCACCACACGAAAATGGCAGTTCCTCTGTCACCGGCCATTTCCCTTTTTACCTACCACAGCGCCTCCAGCCTTACCTCTGTATCCCAGGATATCCCACCATGCAAATGTTACAAGCATCTGCAGGAGAGGGTAGAGAGGCAATTTTGGAGGAAGCTAACACACTTGATACTTGGTGTATCAGGTGCCTGTGCCGAGGTATTGGCGGGAATCTCTGTGAGGAGAAGTCAGGGCTGCCCTGTGCCTGTCACAGCTGGTTCCAACCGGTCCCAGCCAGGTCCACAGCAGCCCCACGGCAGGGCACAGCTGAGCCCATCACCGACACTGGTGGAGCCTCTGTGGTAACAGATTTAAGAAGGGGAAAACTGCACAGCTGTGAGGAGCAAGGAAAAAAGTGTGAGAAAAGAGCCCTGCAAGCACCCAGGTCAGAGAGGGAAGAGGAGCTCTGGGTGCCTGAGCAGAGACTCCCCTGCAGCCCCTGGAGAGACCATGGCGGAGCAGACTTTTTCCTGAAGGACTGCAGCCTGTGGAGAAGATCCATCCTGGGGCAGCACGGAAGTGTGAGCTCTAGGTTGCATAAGCCGACAATAGCACATGTACTTGCTCCATCAGAAGCCATGTGAATTTCCCTGATCCAAGCTGCTAAGACCACCTTGCCTCAGGAGGTGAAAGCAACAGTATCACCAGGCATTTTGAAGATAGCTTGTGGTGGCCCCATGTAAAAAATTGCTTGGTCTTCAGATTCTTCTTCATCTTGCTTACTAATGAGAGGATGAGCAGCTGTGTTCTTTCACTACAGTCACCACAGGAAAAAAGCTTAAAAAAAACCCACTTGTGTTGGTGTACTGGATTCTAGCTACAGACTAATATCCCTCTGCAAGAAAAATTAACATGTTAAGGAGTATTTAGAAGAAGGGATTTTTATTGTATTACAAGATTTTTACCTCATATATATGGAAGCATTATTCTGTCAAATAAAGGCCTCATCACAATCTCGACTGCAGGGGAGCCATGACAGAGCCTGACAGCTCAGATTTGTCCCGACTGCTCGTTTTAGGATTTAAATAGCAGTCTCCAGCCTCAGCCCTCATCCCTACATCTGCTTTAGCTGGAAGTGAGCAAGAACATCCAAAATTTACACAGATGGACCCCTTTCAGCCTCATGACAGCTGCCAACCCTTCAAAAGCCACTGCTATTCTGTTCCCACTGCTCCACCTCTGGGAAGGCAACCACAATATTTCATGTACATTTAACACTAATATGAAATATTTATTACCCTTTCCAACTTTAAGTTCTATTTAGTGTCTTATCTCAAACCTCAGATTGGCGCCAAAAAAACCCCAAACCATACAACTGGAAAGATTTCAGTCCCTAAACCCATGAAAGCTGTGGTTAAGGCAGTTGCTTCACAAGATCATAATTAAAAGTTTATTTGCACTGTACATAATCAGCCCTCTTACACTCTAAATTATCTTGTCATTACAGTGGTACAGGAACTTTAGGAGATGTTAGAGGATTTGAACCTGCATTATCTCATTACTCTTATGCAATCTGTCAATAAATCAATGTATTGTGTATGACTGCAAGTGCCTGGCACATTCTTCCTAACTGTCTACCCCAACAGTAAAACTCACTAACATCCCCGAGCATCTCAGACCCCATACCTCAACCTCTGATGCAACACAAAGCCCTCATACTCTAAAAGCTCACAAGAGTGCAAACTGGCCCCATCCCAGCCCACTGGCCAAGCATACAAGCCTTTAGGTTACCCACCAGGCTTCCCTGCCTGCACAGACAGCTTTGCCCCTGACAATTAGGGCACCTACAGCCTCTGACCACCTGCACAAGGGGAAGATGGGCACAATGTCAGCAGATGGTGTGTAGAATAAGGCGAACAAAAGCAAAAACTCAATTCACATCAAAAGGTGGAGGATGCATGTTGAGGTCCAGCTGGAGCGACGCAGGAAGCGTGAGTGGCACAGCACAGAGGCTCAGCCAGGTCATCTGCCACAGAATGGCGGCATGAGGGAAGGACAAGAGTGTTGTGTGACAAGGACGCAGAGCAGGGTAGGGCTGATGTGCAGCTGAGGGAACAAGAGATGTCCAAGGAAAGGTTGGGGCCAGCCTGCCACACCTGCACTCTACATGTGCCACCACAGCAGGAAGGGGCTGAACCTGAGCACCCCCATGCTCACAGTCATCCCAGCTGGGTACTGCCACCCAGTCAGCTGGGGGACACAGACTGCAGGCTGGGTGGGGACACGTGCAGCAGCTCCCCTGTGGGTACAAGGCTGCAATGGGGTCAGGCCCTCACCCAGGTCTGGTGGAGGCTCTGGGAGCAGTAGGCCAAGGAATCACACCTCAATGCTCATCTGCCCCAGCAGTGATGCTTTAGCATGCCAGCATCCTCCTTCCCAGGGGTGTGGGCATGGGAAGGTCAGTTTTCAATTCCTCCCCAAGGGGGACAAACAGCTTAAGTCCAGCTCAAAGGATTGGAAGGTGGTGTTAAAAAAAAAAAGTTTCACACACACATGGAGAGTCTGAAAGACCAGAGGTAGTGCCAGGAACAGCCTGCAGTGTGAGGGGAAGGGTCTCACCTTCCACAGGCTCCAGCTCCAGCTTCAGGTACTTCCATCTACTCCCCATCAGGCTTCTTTGAAGAAACAATGTGCCAATACATTAAGAACCCCTTCTTAGAGTAAACACCTCTGAAAAATTCTCACAATTTTCTTCTACTATTATTTCCTCTAAAACTCTACCCCTCAAGCCCAGAAGAAACAAACCTCACTTAAAAAAAAAAAATCTTTTCAAATCCCACCAAAATCTGTTCTCTGTTATATTAACCAGTGGCTAGTCAACATCCTTCCCTGGCTTTAAGGGGAGGCTTTAAGGCTTCAACTCACTCAAACTGCAGAGTCTTTGTTACAGAGACACTCCCCTGCAAGAGACAAGTTCCAGCTGGATGTTGATATTTCACATTATTCCTGCATATTAAACATTTTTAAATGTAGACGTTACTTAAGCTTTAAGCAATTTGCTAAAATACAAAGGAGAAGCTTTGGTCTTTGTAAGACTTCAAAAACACAGTATATCAGTTCTGCTCTTCTCTGGTTTTGCTGAAACAGGTGATGTTACAGCTCACTTCACATGTCCTTGGCCATTATTCCCTATTGCACATTCAACTTCCACCTTGTTAGTCAGACGTGTTGTTTCCAGCAGAAACTCCCTCCCACTTGATCCAGCCTCATGTGTTTAAACAAGAGGGGCTCCCACCAGCACCCATCTCCTCTCACTCCCTTCTTGCTAACGGGGTAGTGGATCTTCATGATTCTTGTAGTTTCATAATTATGGATATAAGATGGAGAACTTCCTCCTATTTTTAAACAGTGCCAGCTCACCTCAGAAGGTTAAAAAAATAAACACCACGTGTTATTGTATGCAACAGACTAATAATAAGGTTATGTATCCGCATAATAGGCAATGTAGAACTCTCACAGTTCTGCTTGTGGAGGAAGTTATGCAAAGCCTCCTGGTGTTAAGCATCTGGAAGGCAAGAACACCCCAGCATGCTATAAAGTGATATCCAAGCTCCTGGCAGCTCCTCACTTGCAGGAGAATCAAGCATGTATTCCAGATACTTAGCACTGCTTTCCCTTGTGTCAGCAGCTCTTGTGAGCAGGTCCAATCCATCCAGGCAAAGATGACACACACCTTCCTTCTTTCAGCCGTGGTATACTTGAAGAGAGGCACACAAGTTTCAGTCTACATATGCCAAGAATAAAATGCAACCAGGCAGACAGGATAGAAGCACAGGAAGGTCCCTCAGGTACATCCTTGTTCAGTCACTTTGTTTGCTAAAGTTGCATCTGTGATACAGAAGTACTCAAGGCTGTGGACCCAGAAAGTGGGTACAGAAGCCTTGCAAATTTCAGAGACACAAGATGGGGATACTTCTACACATCCAGAGTCAGCTGAATGAAGCAAACATCCAAAAAAATTCCTTTGACTTTATCTGTTATCTAATATATTCAATAGCAAGATTGCTGCAACTGAGCAGTCTGTGCTGACACCTCACAGAGGCCAGAAAAGCACTCTCAGCTGCATTTCCAGTTCTCCTTCTCATCAGCACCTGAATGAGTGTGTAGTGAATCCTGGGTGCAGGGGGGAGAGAAAAAGAAAAAAAAAATACAGAAGAGATTTCTTGTGTGCCCACTTCCCCTTTAGTCCTTACTGCAAGAAGAGGATCAAATGATCCCAACCCATCCTTTTACCCAGAAGGCCAGGTAATGTTATACAATCCCAACACTCCAGTAGATATTTTGCCACCAAGAGCTGCCCCACCACATTCCCTCTCTGCAGTTTTATCTCTCCTGCCACTACAAGTTTTAGTTTGAATGATCTTGCTTAGAAAGAAAAAGAAGCATCTCAGAGCAAACATCTCTCATCCTGGTTGCACAAGGCAGGTTTTGGTAGCACAAGATTTTTCTTTACCTGAGTTAGAAGTTGATGACGTCTCAGCTGTCTATAGAACTGCAATACAGAAGGATCAGCTCTCACTACTTTTGGGTCAAAATCCAGAACACGGAGACCTGCAAGGCTACGGGCTCGGGAGAGGGCTACATAAGCCTGCCCACTTTCAAAGACACGGGACAGGGAGATTTCCACGCAATCTAAAGACATACCCTATGAAAAACACAGAGAAGTTTGTTACAGAACAATCAAACAAAAAAGAACACTGTGCTGTATTGACACTAAGCTGTCCTGCGAGTCTGTCAAAGGTACCACCCTTGATGTACAGGCTTTATAAAAAAAAAAAAAAAAAGAAGGTTGATCAGCCATCAAGCAGTAAATAATGCTGCTTTATAGTCTAACACCAACTATACCGATGGCAGCACCCTTATGGAAACTCTAGCAGTATTGCTAGCCCATCTTTAGCCCTATAGACAAGCATCACAAGCAGAAAAAGTGCTGCCTTCTCTGCAACTAAACACACATATTCTAGAGGTGCCCCAGAGCAAGGGCCTTTCAGTTTGCCTCCCATTTTACCCAGGAAATAAGGTTTATGGCAGTGTAAAATTCTATAGACGGCTGTATAAGAACACCCACCTGACTCTTGTGAATGGAAATGGCCCATGCCAATTTTAAAGGCAACTGTTGACGACTTAGATGAACTCCTGATGGTCCTTTGAAGACCCATTTCTCCATTTTTATGACCTGTGTGACCCCGCAGAGAAATCTCACCTTAGGCAGCCCTGTAGGAGTGGGAGCAGGAGAGAAACGGGGATGGATTCCTGACAGTCAGCAGCCAGGAAGCCAGCAGCCTAAGAATATTTTTTTTTTTCTTTCATGAATTTTAGGGCTGCAATAGGAAAAAAAATCCCACACCAAAAGAAAAACACACCCTAAACCAACACACAGTAAATAGGATGTCCTGAAATGATGTTTAATTCTCCTGCTTAAGTAGGTCCCAAAGAAGTTAATCTATCAGTTGATATGTAGAGAAAAATACACATTGCAGGTAGCAGAACACTATTCTGAGAAAAACAAGCAAACACACACCAAACCACCAAGAACTGCTTCAACAGACAGAAAATGCAAATAAGCATACACATCTGGAGAATAAAGAAAAGCAAACACAAGAGGCCCTATAGATAACTACAGCTGATACAGTGCTTGACATTACAGCTCACGACAGCCCCAAGCCTCTCACTGCAGAGAAGTCCTCCTTCCTGCTTTCCCTCAAACTATTCTTACCAAAGCAGTAAACAAAATTAACAAGCCATCAGCCATCCATAATAAATTGTTTTGTTTTTTTCTCTTCCTTCAACAACAGATGAAAAAGCTTACTTACCCTTCTGTTCACTTTCAAATCCTACAACAACTCCTCGTGCTCCATTCACCAGCCCTTGAGACACATCCAGATTCTTAGCTAGCATCACCTACAGAGAAAAAGAAAAATCCTTTAGTGCACTGGCTTTACAGCCAGTTCAGCTACCTACAGCTAAGCTTCTAGCCAGGAAGCATAAGCACAGCAGGCTGATATAGCCATGGCCACATCATCCTATCACAGGATAGAGCACCATCTCCTCTTTGATTTAAACTATTTCACTGCCTTTCCTTCCTAGTATTCCCAACTACATCATTCTGCAGCACTAACACTTCACTTGAGCTGCTTCTGTCCTCAGCTGTGAGCTCAGATACAGGGAACAGATTCCCCTTCCCCAAACACCAACCAGCCTAAACTTATATAGATTCTGGGATCACCTAAGAAACAACTTCCCAAGGCAAACGGTACTGCTGCTAAGCACAATCCTGCATCCTTTCCACTCTGACAGCCCTAGCTCCCAGCAAGGTGCCCAGTCCTGCAAATTTGGCAAGCTGTGCCATACCCTTACAGCACAGGAGGGCTGCTGTAGCTGGAGCTCAGACTGCAGGCAAGGACCACCTTTGCTACCTGGAAGGTTCTAAATCTGATTGGAAATGTGTGTCAAAGTCATAGCAGTCACCACTGTTCACAAGACATTGACCCGCACTCAAATGAAACTAATTCTCTGTCTGGGTAAGATTCCAAGCAGAAAGGATGCAAAGATTCGGACAAAGTCTTCTGCTGGCCTAGCATAGCCATTCTACACAGAATCTGCATTCTATACATTAATCTACTCTATACATTTATCTGCTATTCCTTTATTTTTTCTTATGCCATTTGATCTGCTGGTCTTTCACAAATGTATGTACACATGCTTACCTGAGCTCCAAGCTTTAGCTCAACTCTACCACCCACAGGACACTGAGCATCAATTAACTTCACTAGCATTGGGTCACTGTCCAAAGCCTCAAAGGAGTGCACTTCTCCTATTAAGGAAAGACGTAACAAATTGCAACCATTGAACATATTCTACACAGCATTGCGGGAGGCTCAGCATTAGTTTCTAACAGTAATCCCTCTCTTAATATCCATTCTGCTCTCCTGGTGGGACATCTTCACACAAACCTTGTCACATCTAACAGCAGAAAGCTCATTATTGGTTCTCTTCTCAACATAACTCCCAGAGCACGAGAAGGCTCAGGAGTCAAAGACCAGCAGCAAATAAGAACTGAGCAGTCACCATTTTGAGCATATGACCAGTTTCACTTGCTGCCAATACCAGATCTCCAAAGAGGACTAAGGAAGAATCCTAGGGCCAGACAGGGAGGCAGAAGTGAAATAGCCCTTAATTCAAGTCATGGCTGGATAAAGCACAGCCTTTCTGAGATGCTAAAGAAAGAAAAAGCAGGAGTATGAAGGCAATAAGTGACGCACTCTACCTCACAACAAGCAATGAGCTCACTGTCTATTACCCACCAGGAAGTAACAGCGTGGATTTTTAAGCAAAAAGCTGGTAATTTTTTCCCTAGGCAGCTCAACTCCAACACGCACAGCTTGGACTGGTGCTGCTGTGCATGGCAGAACACCAGTTCCTCCTGACACCACAGCATCCCCATTGCATCCACTCAGAGCTCAGCCCCAAAGACAGCTGTTTCCTCCAAGGAGTTCACCTGATAGCTGTTGCAAGCGCCTCTCATTAGTTACTTCTACATCATCTTTATGGGTGCAGAGCCGCGTAGCCAGGATCCCATCACGCTCAGAGCTGTTAGCAGCAGTCTGCATCAGCTGTCTGGTAACCTCCTCTGTGCACCTGGTAACCAGGAAAAAGGGATTGTCATTTAAAGTGATCAAGTGCACCTGGTAACCAGGAAAAAGGGATTGACATTTAAAGTGGTCAGGAAGAGGACTAGAGCAGTAGTAACCTCTGCACAGCTGGATCAGGTGGTGTGAGCCTCAGGCCTCTAGAGAGAAGGACAGAGAAAGATAACTACACAAAGTTGGAGAGTGGTGCAAGTGTGTGACGCAGCCCTGTCCTGGCCACTGCCAGCTCAGGATCCATTGAATTCCTTAGCAGGAATTGTAAAGAGGGACCCTAGAAAGGGTCCTTCCTTACTAGAGTAGCATATATAAGACCTGCTTACATTAACTACAGCATTTATAGCTATTGCCCCCAGCCACGCATTCCTGATAGAGCACAGAGAAGTTTTTCCTCTGCTCCATCAGTAGGGAGCAGGGATTACAAAGAGAGACAAGTTTCTCACCTGCCTAAACGAACTGCACTCAGGAGCGAGACAAAGTTCTTGTCGGTCTGTCTCCGCACTTCGGTCAGCTCCATATTTATGTGGATGCATTTCCTCCAGCTTTTTGCCTGGCAAATCATTCTCTTGTTAAGAAAGAGGCAGACTTGAAGTACGAGAATGAGTTTAGGGACAGTTGTGTACCTGGAAGCAGAACTTGGTTTCTTCATTAGCCTTGCAGACTGGAGGTAGCTGCAAGAAGTCCCCACAGATGATTAGCTGAATTCCTCCAAAAGGCTCGTCTCGTTTTCTGACTGCCCTGAAAAGGAGGGAAGAGAGAAGTTTTGAATGCACTCCAGGACTTGGACACAGTCAGGTCTCAGAAGTTACTTCTTAGTCTTCCGGTATATTCAAACATACACTACCTGCAGTAAAAGATCATTATCCTCAGCTGTGTCAAAAGAACTCAAATAATTAAGCAATGCTATTACAAGACATTAAATTTGCTTTGCTTAGCCACCTCAGAAAACATTACCAGTCTTGGTTCTTTGGTAGCTGTTACACCACAGCTGCTTCTCTCTGCAAGAGAGAACTGCTGGGCCCAGCAGACAGGTGTGTCCTGGACTCAGCTCTACAGGTAGCACTTGGCTCCAGAGATGGAAACCGCAACCAGAACAGCCATAGCAAGGGAGTGGGGACATGATCAAAATCTATCTCAAGATAAAGATCTGCCCAGATGCTGGCTATGATTTCATGCTCCCTTCCAGTCCTCTGTCAGTGGTTGCCTTGTATCCATTCACGTAACCAGAAGAAGGAAGCAGCCTAGAAGTTTAAGGAAATTAATTTCTATTAGTTGTTTGACCTGACGGTTGCTTACCTCGCCACTGCCTCCAGCTTGTCGAAGAACTTGCCATCCACCATTGAGATCTCCTCAATAATTAAGTGCGGGCAGGCCAGCCAGTGCTGGCGCACCCCAGGCCTCTCTGCCAGCTGAATACACTGTTCTAGCGGTGCCTTCCCAGAGCCGATCCCTGGCAGGGGAGAAGAAAACAAAGCTTTGGGAAGCTCCTGACTCTTTGAAAAGGGAGCAAGAGGTCCCAGCCCCTCACTGGCGGGCAGACCATTACCTGCAAAGGCGTGGAG